TATATGTAATACTACACGTTTCATACACCAAATGGGATAGGTATGGTTAAAGGTGTGGGTATATGCAATTATGCATTGAGGGAATTTATGCTACTACAATCACATAAATATGAATGGTATGGGAAATGACATTACATCATTGTGAATACAATATCAACCTATTCAACTTTGAACCTAACATCACAAATGACAATAAAGAAAGTAGCAGAGAACAAGCTAGATACATAACATGAAAACAAGAAAATCATTACACTTTAGCCTAGAGTTAGGACGTGTCATAGTCATTGTACAAGACAAGACTGAGCAGACTGACCATAAAGGCCTTATGAAGCCAGGTCAAACAGTCTTATGGCTGCCTACAGTCATTCAAAAATCCCATAAAAGCACGAACTGTTAACAGCCCATAATAAATTGAACAAGGTGGACTTAGCACAATCATGACAATGATAAACTTGAATCGAGTTGTCATTATTGACTGTCAAACTCTTTAATGGTAAAAATACCTCTGATGAAACTGAAGTGGGAACAGACCACAAGTAAAATCAAAAGGGAGTATCTCTCAGGAGAACTAGTCGAGTGCACCAGTAACATTTATGTATCTGTAGATCTCAGCTCGACTTTCCGAGATGCTATAATAAAATCATTATTCATTATCAAATCAGTGAACCACACCTTGCATAATTGGGTGTGACCAACCATTATTAGCCTATAATTATAAAATTTACTCCATAGACTCTTCCATAGATAATGGTTCAAGTGCACACATGCACTTGAGCTCTCTTTTGGATATCAAAAATCCCAAGCTGATAAGATAAACTCTCTTTCCTATAGTAATTTGATCTATAGCTTGAATGACCCAGTACCATATACGCCAACAGCCCAACACTATTGACCCTAAAGTGTGAACATACACATGAAGCCATATAAATGTAAGCTGGTAGTTTCTTGCTTGTCTGGGAAGGTTGTGGTTCATGCTAATTTCTATCTCTTGTATTATGAGCTAAGACCAATTACAATGATAATACTCACAATAACAAAAGTAAAAAGGAGATGACATTGATTCAACAAAACAACACAAGTGTATTATAGAGCATGTGTATAACAGTATAAAATAAAAATTAGGTATAGTCCATCACCGTCTTTCGATACGGCCCATTCTTTAGTTGTCAATAAAATGGACATATTACCAATAGAACAATTACTACAACTGAAAGCATTACCACCA